CCCGCGGCCCTGTCCCCCGCCCCGCTCCTCCCCGAGTCTCCTGCTCGCTCTTTCCCGCCGAGGGAGGTGCCTGTTTCTTCAGCGGCGGGACACCCCCGCAGGGCTTTTGCTAGTAGACTGCAGAGGAAAAAAGTTAGGGAGAGTTTTGTGGTTTTTAGGTCGAGTTTGAGCCGCAGGGAGAAGAAAGGGACCTGCCTGCATCACTCGTAGGGCGAGTGGAGTGCTAGTACTTACCAGGGAACTTTCAGAACCTTAAAGGCCGCCTCTCCTGTGTGCTTACTACATCTCTGCAAAGCAGGGTCTCAGCTTTGCTCTTTTGTTACCCTCCCTTCCTGGCCCACCTGCCTGAGTGGGACGGTTTTGGCTTGTAACCTGCTCCTTTGAACACCCCCCCACGGCGCTGGGCTGGGATGCCCTTAACTAGGACACGGAGGGGCATCCTTCTCCTAGTCCTACGCACACAAGCCTGGAAAGGCAGAATGATAGTCCCCTGTCTTTTGCGTATGGCGGTCCTCAGTGCTACATGTCCTTGCTTGGCCCGGTGTGTGACTTGCTGATCACGGCATCTTGCGTGTGGGGAGGTCAGGAAAGAGACCGCAGATCTCTCTCTCGTCCTGGAAATCCACGTCTGAATGCTTTGTATGATCCAGGCTGCAGCCCCTCTCCCACTCACATCCGCAACTCTGACTCCTGCTTGTGTGACCTGTCGGGCCTACAGTCACGCAGAAGTACACTGGTAGGTGCGACGGTAGGTGCGCTTCTCCTGAGCTGTGTGTGGGGTCTAGCTTGTGTCCTTTCTGTCTCCTTTCAAGGAAGCATTCACATGTGTGGAACTGTTATGTTTTGAAGAAGTTCTTCCTGGAGAGGGTGGTGAGGCACTGGCACAGGTTGCCCAGAGAAGCTGTGGATGCCCCATCCCTGGAAGTGTTCAAGGCCAGGCTGGATGAGGCTTTGAGCAACCTGGTCTAGTGGAAGGTGTCCCTGCCCATGGCAGGGGGGTTGGAACTGGATGATCTTCAAGGTCTGTTCCATCCCAAACCATTCCGTGATTCTGTGAAATATGCATTTTGCAAATCAGTGGTACTGGTAGTGGCCTGCCCTAAGGAAACGCGCCTTTCTGTTGTAAAATAAATGGGAGTAATAGAAATAAGGCATAAGTGATAAGGAAATAATTAATAAAAATAAGAAAAAGAGTCAAGTGCTGAAATGCTTTTGGTAGTTTTGGGCTGAGTAAGTGTTTGGTTATGGATGGCAGAGAAATTAGGTGTCGCCTGAATAACTCATGTGCACCTGCACTGGGAATCCTGAATTCAGTCCTGGATTTTTTACTATTACAAATGAGAGAGATTTTAGGGATTAGCAGCAAAAAATTCAAGGCACCTGTGTGATGTTTGTAGGTGTAAAAAATGTTTTAAAGTGCCTGCATGATAAGTAAAAGAGGAAAGTGCAGTTCTGTAGGCACGTGATGAGGCAAGCAATGAGAGCTGGTGTATGCGTATGTGCTGAATGTTAAGGAAGTATAACTCCTGTTAGCTTACTGGGGACCTAATTTAGGTGGTGTATCAATTATTTCTGCTGTTAATGTTGCTGTCATATGGGAAATGCATTAATAAAGCTGTTTCTTGTACAGAGTTTGTCTACACAGGGATTTTACTGATGTAACTCTGCAAGAGGAATGATGAACTGACTGAAATAGCCAGCTTGGCACATCAGTCAAGTGTATAGGCCAAAATTCAGAAAAAAAACAGGTAAACAACCAACCATAGAGTCTTAGAGGATAGGAAATATTGATGAAAATAAATAAACAAGTTTTTTGAAAAAGGAATTAGGGGTGAAGATTAGGAGGTCTCAGGGGTCCTTTTTAATGCCATATTTCCTACTGTAGGAACTAAAATGGGTAAATATCTTGTTGAGATCGATCCTGAACCTGCAGGCTATTCCATCTTTCTCACATCCGAGTAGTTTTATTTTAGAAGACTCACTCTGAAGTGTATGAAGAGTTCTGGAGTTTTAGTGGAAAGACCTAACTGTATTGCTTTACTTGCTTGACTTGTTAAATTACATCTTGTCTGAGCAGTGTGCGTGTCTCATAGTTGTTGCAGGAAACTACTGAAGAGGAAGCCCTTAGCAAAATAGTCAATTCAGAGTATCTAGTTGAAATCTACTAATTATAGTCATCCTCCCCCATCTCTTTTCAGTGATGACAAAGTCAGTAGTTGTACAAGATAATTTCACCCTACTTCCTCTTTTCCCTCTTTTATTGTCAATTTCTACTAACACCCTGTTAGCCATCACCTTCTCTTCAGCCAGCTGAGCTTCTTGAACCTTCAACTGACTGATCCTGCCTTGATGGGAGACTGAATGGAAGAATTGTATCTTATCAGAGAAGAAATCTAACAGAACAGTTTTGTTCTGTGGAAGAGCCATGGTCAGTTCCCTTGGCTAAAAAGTGAATGCTTTTATAATTCAGACACATGGGAATAAAATGCAAGCACCATGGGAAAGAGCCAAGTAATCTACATCGAGCTAAAATGTGTTTTATAGCTACCAAATTTCTGTAGAATCATAAAACCCACCGAATTCCTGCTATATATTGTAGACTGAAACACGGATTTTTGTCTTTTTCAGATATCATAACCTTAAGAATGCAGTCGGTTTGTCAGAGAGTTGGCACTTGTTCCTCATGTTTGAAGAGACAGCTAAATGGCTTACTGGGATTCATTAAATGGCAGAGAAGACTGGTTCCTGCTTGTGTCAGAACTATTTACAGCGAGACGGGGAAATGGGAAAAAAGCTATGGGTTGGAGACAAGAAAAAGAGTTGAAAATTGGTGGCTCCCAAGAATAAAGGATCAGTTCTGCAGAATTTCAGAAACTGATGTAAGCATTGTGAGAAATTTGGAAATTATATGTTTGATATTTTTGTTTTCTCAGAATGAAATTAACTAAAACTTACTTGGCACAGGTGGCTTCGAATGGTGATATGTATATTGTATTTCAGGGCTAACTACATTTACATGATGGTAGATGACTAAAAACAGTTGATGAAATAGGTGGGAAAATCATCATCAAAAACATCGTGGGGGAAAAACACAGTGATAAGCAAAGTACAAACTTGTAAATGTAGGAAGTGTTTAAGTAATCCTTTCTTCATATATTATACCCCATTTAGGAATTAATTCATTAAAGTAGTAACAGAAACCTCTTCTACATTTGTAACAAACATTTGTAAACAATTTTCTCAGGATCTTGTTCCCCAGTACACTGCACACAGTGACTCCTTAAAATCTGTGCTAAGGAAAAGATGATGTTTTTAAGACACTGCAAACCAGAAAATATTCTTAGGAATAATGAGTGACTTGCAGAAAAAAGAAAAAAGTTTTCCCATGCAATAAAAGACCTTGAAAACAATGGTCATCTCGGTCTCTGACTCTTTTTGCCTTCACAGCTCTGCTCAGTCACATAGGTATAAAACCGTTCTTGGGCCCCTTCATGTCTGTTTGTTCTTCTTTCCTAAAACGTGCCCCCTCTCCAACAAAGAATTGACTCTGTCCAGGGGCCAAAGAGGGAAAAGGGTCTTGCTTGTTCTGAGGAGGAACACTGCGATGAAAATAGTCGGTATGCATACGTGTGGCAGGGAAAGCATCCATTTAGGCTTGTGTCTGTAATGTCTGACAATACCTGTGCACGTAGGTGTCACACATATGCTAAGTTCTAAATTGTATTTTTAATGGTATTTGTTCTAAATGGTATTTTTAATGGCATTTTTTGTTTTATCCTTAAAGTAGATTTAATAACCTATCAAGAGGCAAATAGTGTGTAGTGCTGCAATGAAGTATTCAGATTATTTCTAATTTTGCTATTATTGGACAAAAGCAATGAAGTAGTATTTGATAAATATGAGCACAGTTTTGTTCTGAATAGTAAAAGCTGCCCATATTTTTTTTTTCCCATTATTAACATACGAAAAATATTGTGGGGACTTGTCAAGCATGTATCAATAATAAATTTAATGCTACTCAAGGTGTGTTAGGAGTAATTTATGTGAGAGAGATCATGTTTGATTTCTTTGAACTTTTGTCAATACTCAGACCTAACTACATGGAATTTTTACTCTTCTTTCATTACGCAAGATCCTGCTTGTAAGGTGTCTTTGGGCCTGAGCACAGGTAGTGGAAACCCACAGTTTCACTACAGTCAGATGTTCACGCCATTGAGTTAGTCACCCAGTGAGTTACTGCAGTCCGGCTCACAAAAAGCAACTGGCTGGGAGTGAGCCTCGTGTTTGCTGGAAATCCAGAGTAAAACACCTATGTAAACTGTTAAGAGCATAATTCAGCCCGGCATTTTTATTTTTTGGTGGGATGGATTAGGAGCGTGTAGGTAATCAGGTACAGACAGCTGCTATGGTAGGGAATGGTGATATGGATAAACTGCAGTTTACGCTGACATACCTGATGCTGAGTACAGGTTGATCAGAAGCATCATTTTCAAGTGCCGTATGAGTATCAATACAAATTGAGGAGATGGCAGCAAAGTCTGGTAAAACATCTCCATTTACACCCCCAAAGGTTTTGATCTGATGAGCTTTGTCAGTGCTCACTCTGATCAGTTCCGGCAGAACCTTGTTTCTTTTCATGGTACCGTGTAGTCTGTAACGTGTGCATGTATTTATCCTAGTGAAATAACTCACGTAGTTACAACTGTCTAAAACTTTCTTTCTAGAAATCAAGACCAAAATTTTATGTGCTTTCTATGTTCCCATATCCTTCTGGAAAGCTCCACATGGGCCATGTTCGTGTTTACACCATCAGCGATGCAGTAGCTCGGTTCCAGAAAATGAGAGGGATGCAGGTAAGAAAAGTTCGGCAGTAGGACTGGGTGAGGCTTTTTTGGATGGTTTAATATCATAATTGGTCAGGAAATTAGTGTTTTCCAAAATCCATGGAGGCGAAGGTTCAGTCGGAATGTGTGCTCTGGATGCATAGATCACGACCTGTGGCACTTCGAATGTAGGATCCGAGAGGTGTTTTAGAACAGGTGGTGTCAGAACTGACTGCTGCTGTCTCAGGTGATGCAGCTGATGCTGTGTGGTACCTGGATCTGCTGATGCACAGCACGGTGTGGGTGAGGCGTGTGGGCCACACCATTTCTGTGAGACCAAAGACCCTGCTGTCATCTGGGTGGGACCGTGGGGGTGGAAGAGGTGTGACTGGCGAGAGGAAAGAGACACCATGAAGTCAACTCCTTTCACCTCTTCTGCTCCTGAGAACTGGTTGATGTCCTTTGTCAGACTCTGAGGGACATCCTGCCCCTCTCTGCCTGCTGGGAGGGAAACCTTTTCTCATGACTGCCACCAGTCAGATGGACAGGGTTGTGTTACATGTCAATGTCGTGCGGGTGGAACTGTTCTGCAGCATCTGACCCCTTGGCTTGCCTCTTTCAGCCTTGTTCATACACACGAAACGCTGCCTTCTGAAGGGGCAAGTCCACGAGGTAGGCTAAGACTAACTTATTTGCTGCACCTGCAAGGAGAAAACCCACTTTCCCTTCTGCATTCCTCTGTTTCCCAGTCTGCCCCGTGCCTGCCATCATTTCTCCCTCGCTCCCTTCCTTCTCTCCATTAGGTAGAGGGTGTAGCTGAGAGCCCAGTCCCGGCTGTCTACAGGTGGGATCCCAACTGGTGTTCAAGGGTAAAGGCTGGCGGGTAAAATTTGAAGGATGTAGGGCAGGTGTGGGAGAATTATGACCTGAGTGGCAACCATGTTAAGGAGGAAGACAGTATTTCATAGGGGGAAAATGTTAAGAATCTGGGAAGCAGTAGGAAGGAGGCATGTGGAAAGAGAATACCCAATTTTGGGGTAGGGAACAGAAGGGAAAGAAATAGTCGTAGGCAAGAGTCTAGGATGAGGTTCAGAAAGGAATTCTTTCTAGTGCACAAGAGAGAAGGAGCAGCTCAAGAATGTAGGAACCAGAACCCCAGAAGAGTGCAGAGATGAGGAAATGGAGAACTAAATGTTAGTTGCTGGTTGTGGGACTAGGCGCAATTTCCTTGCTATGAGTGCTGTGGAAGCGCAGCGTTTCCTGGATTTATCACCATCCCTGAGACTCTTAAAGGTACTGTCACTGAATTATTCAGTGTCCTGCCTTTCCATATACTGTGTATTTTATGCCAATGATGAACATCCCATGCACTGAATATGTGCTGCTGCTTTACAGAAATGCGTTCTTATGCTTTTAAAATTGTGGGAAAAAGAAATAACTGCCTTGGACTTTAAATGAGGGAAAAACCCCGATGTCTAATCTTTCCTAACTCATCTGAATAACCAGAACTTAGACCTCACTAAAAAAAAAAAAAGGCTATCGAGGGTCTTGAAGGGACTTTTGATTCTTCCTTGATGCTAAGATGACTGGAGAGGTCATTTCAGGACATAGCTCGTCTCTCATCAGTAACAGTGGAGGTATCCACTAAATTTCGGTTCATAAAGACGAAAACTTGTTTCCTCTTGTACTAGCTGAAATAAAGGGAAAGTAACTGTCTGCATCTAGTAGGATGCTAGCTGGTAGGTGTTAGCTTTTGGATACAAGGGAAGCACCTTTGGTAGAAACCTTTGGAGAAAATGAAAAGGTTGTATAATTGCAATGAAATACAAGAGCCACTGTGAAACCAATTTTTATTTCCATCATAGCCTATTTTTTCCCGAAAAATTTTGAAAGTTTTTAAGTCTTGCATTTCAGCTTATTTTTATATTTCTTGTAAAAATGACTGAAGGATATTAGAGTGCCTGTAGAACATTCTGAATTTCTATAAATGTGTGTCTTCTGTTGTGCTAACCACTTTGAACATCTATTGATGGCTGAAAGTGGGCAGCCAAAAAATTTAACCTTCGTTATGATTAAGAGACATTAAAGGTCTCTCAGATGATTTTCTGAGTATGTCAGACTAAGAGCTACTGTGTTAGTGATGCACACTGACTTGCTTGACTTACGTTTACCTTAAAAACCCTTTCCTTTATTAGCCATGATAAATTCTCCATCACTGAGAATTGAAGTCTTTTTAAATTATTTTCTCCTCGCAATTAATATATCAGCCTCTGGATGTTTTATCTGGCCATCTTCACAACTGCACAATCTGTAAAAGATTTCTGTATTGTTATGGTTGTAGGCTATGACATCGTTACATTGTTATTTTTACATAAAATTTGATATTCCCAAGAGATTTTTTTTTTCATTTAATATTTCCAAACTAAAAAAAAAAAAAAGGAAGGGTCATTGAAAATAATCTTAAGAACTATATCCCTATATACTGATGTCAAGCTGACCCTGGTTAGCAAGTCATAAAACTGTGCTAGAACCAATAAAGATAGGTTGGAAGTGTTTGTAAGGCAACGAGGAATGATGGGTTGTAACTATGAAAAATACAGGCAAAACCATTCAGACCTAGAGTTCCTAGGAAAAACTTCAGTGTACAACATATATTTATTGTCTAATAAGCAGTGAGGGAAAATAGTTGACTAGTGTGTTTGGTTAAGTAAGAGAGTAGTGTGTGTTGGGTAAGGTGAATTTTTTCTTAGAGAGTGCCTTCATGAGAAAATAGTAAATCAGTTTCAGACTGATTTAATCTGAACAAGCAAGAATTGGCTTACTTGTTATAATACCTAAGTAAGGTGAAGCTTGAATGCCTTTACAAAGGGATTAGAGCTCCTTCAGTAAATTCCAAATTCTTTGGAATGCAATCATGTAATTTCTTCATATTGGTGGTAGTTTGAAATCTTAACTGGGAAAGTGTTAAATCATTTGGATGCTGTTTTTTTGTTTTTTTCTAAAATGAAGCAATAGTATTTAATTTTTCTAGTTGGATAGAATCTGATTAAAATATTCTACAGAGGTAATATGCACTGAAATCTACCGATACTTGCCAGAAACCTGTCCTTCCCCAGCATTTGAAGTGGGAAGATAAATATTTGTTGCTCTGTTTTTTTTTTTCCCACTTGTTTTTGGAAGAAGTATTGCTTCAAGATAAAGCTGTAGCTGCTATCGGTGACTAATGACACTGAAAATGGGCAATCAAACAAACTCTGTCATGCAGTTGGATTGTGGTGCTGGGTACATGACTTCTGCAGTACATCCGTTATCTTACAGCTTGTTTACACTCTAATTACTGAAGATGAAATTCAAAGTGTTTGCATGGGAACTGTAAACCATACATACATTACTTAGCGTGAATGCACTGAGCTGGTCTCTTTCCAAAATTTATTAAAGATAACATTTTTCTTGAAGTGCAATTAAAACATTTTTTGTGTATGACGAGTTCTAGTGTCAGATCTTATTACAAACATATTTCTTTTAAAATGCTATAAAAAAATATTTATGGATTTTAAATTACGAATGTTTGTCTGTTAATAAACCAATCCAAAACTGTAATACACGCTTTCTAGTTGTCTTCTCCGTGAATTTACATGCATGTTGTGAATACAAGTGTAGGAATTTTGTAAGAAGTTTTGTTTTCCTATTCATTATCTGAGAATGCCGTGTACAAATTGTAGAGAGATTCATGGTGATTTTCACCATGGCAGATTTCCAGTCTGCTGCTGCTCAGAGAGAAAGTATTTACCATTGCTTTATCATGCTATCATTATCGTGTCTTTAATAAATTCCAAAGTGGATAATTTGTGCCTCTCAGAGGACTGAGAGTGATTCCTTTAGCAATCAGCAACCAGAGAGTGATTCAGTTCATTCCTTCCTGTGGTATCTTTTTAATAAATGTTGAATTGAAATTGGTACTGCGAGGCTGTCACGTGTGAGTTGTGCAGAAATGAGAATGACCATTGGACAATTCAGGGTGAAATTCCTGTACACTAGGATCAGATTTCTTAATTTGTACTTAAACTGCTCCCAATGTAGAGGATTGGAATATTGGCAGTGATATTTCCACAATATCCCCAAATGCCTTGGAGTTTTCATTTTATCCAGAACGGCTCTTTTTATTTGTTTTTTTTTTTAAGTTGGATGTATTTTCAATTATTTTCCCTTTCAGCAGTGAATCTTAATACTCTTGAAATTGCGAAAGTGAATGATATTGTGGAAAGTCAAGTTTAATTAAAACTTCATAATGAATTCATCGGTCGGATGAATTATTTCAGTTCCATTTTCTGATCATCACTGGCTGATCTTTAGCATCATTTTTATGTGTGCAGCTGTTGTGCCTTTTTGCCAGATTATCTTCTGTGGTGTAAACCAAGTGGAGGTATTACACGTATTCTGTGTGAATTGAAACTTAATTAAATTTAGTTTTGCACTAGCAAGTACTGAAGGTGTTAACGAGCACACTCGGTTTCATTTTGAAAGAAAAAGACAAAACGAGATATTATTTTAAATGCGATTATGTTAGACAAGAATGTGTGAGATTAAGGAGGCAAGAGACACTTTTGTTTTCAAAATGTTTGTGGTGGTGTGTGGACATAGAATAATTTCTCATATTTTGTATCTTGTGAGAACAAGACGCAAATGAGAGCATTTTTGTAAGCAGAGCTGTGTTTTGATAGAAATCTGTGTGGGTTGATTATTTTTTAATTGGAAAGTGCCTTATCAGAATGCCAGTGTGCAGCATTCTGTTGCAGAGAAACACTGAAATAGTCCTTCCTAGGATCCATACACTAGGTAAAAATCCATCCTTTTCGTCTGTTTCCAGGTGAGCCTTGTCTGCTTGGGGTTTGTTTTGTTTGGTGGTGGTAGTTTTTAGCTGTTGTTTAACTGTGCTTATAACCTAGTACAATTCAAAGATACCTTAGGCTGCGTTCGGGTGGAGGTGTTGCGTTTAAAATGTGTTGTATCTGTAATCTTTCGGTATACAAACCAGATTTTCAGCATGTTCAGCCTCGTCATAGGGGGCCAATGGAAGGACAAGCCGTCCTCTGCCTTCGTCCCCAGCCCCCTGTCCTTCCAGCCTCACTTGTGTGGGTTTGCACAGTGGTGAGCTCAGGTGAGAGGAGGATGAGAGAGCTGGAGCCAGGGGCGTTGTCTGGCGGCTGGACCTGGTGACCGCGGATCGCCTGTTTTGTCGGCTCACGTCGAGTGTGGCATGGGGCTCTAGCTAGAGACAGGAGTGTACACTTTGCTGTAATGACTCAAATCACTCATCTGTCAGCAAGCCTCTTCATTTTAATTTTTGGTTGTCTTGCCACACATTCTCCGAAGTACATTCATTTACAGGCATTTTTGACACTGATGCTGCTGTTTTTCTTCAAATTTACAACGTATCAGTCTGGATGTGAGAAAGGTACGCCAGCTCCCTGGTCGTAGTTTTGAGGCACACTGAGCACATCAGGAGAGCAAACAAGCTCTTTGTTTCCTTACAAACATTAAGGAAGATTCACTGAATCGTTTGTCCTAGTTACGTTGACAGAGGCATAGAACGGCGTGTTATGAGATCATTGTCAGCTTTGTGTTACACAGTACTTACTGATCTCGCCTACTAATGTCAGTGTGATGGGCTGATTGTTACAGCAGTGAATAGATGAAAATCCTCTGAGAGGAAGAGCTGAGATCTCAGAAAGGAATTAATGGAGTTACTGTGTCTTCCTCTGCCTTGTCCCACAGTCACATTACTAGCCCCCGCCATCGTTAGCGACCGATTTTTTACCGTGCTGTGAAATGATCCTTAAAGCCATGCTTCGAGCTAATATAAAGTCAGAGTCTTTGGGATCTGAAACGTTTCAAGATGCAACTGTTTTCCTTTTTAATTATCTGCTCCTGAAAAGATTGTTCAGGCTGGTAGTTACCAAGCAGTTTGCTCCCCACATACTAGTAAATCACTTGTAACTTTATATTCCCGTGCAAAACATGGTATGTCGAGTGGTAGAAAATGCCAGTCTTTTTATAGCTGATCCTGCCTGACCCTGTGAACTTCTGGGGATCTCCAGCCACGTAATCTGTGTTCAAGGCTAACCCAGTAGTTTCAACCAGGGAGGTTTTACTGTCCATTTCGTTGTGAAAACCAGCTGCCTTGGGTGGCAATACTGGACTCTGCCACCTTAAGATGACTGAAACTACAGCCTGCCGCCTTCTACCAGGTGCCGGCATCCTCAGGCTCGTGCAGGCCTCCTGTCTGTCTCGTTTTTCTTCCTCCTTGCAGCATAGAGAAAATACTGTCTGGGCAGAGGCGCGAAGCTTGGAAGAATGGTCACTGGTGAGCAGAATGGATCCCTCAGTTGCATGAGGTTTGGAGACTGGCGTCAGAAGCAATCACATCAGCGTTCGAGAAAGCGGATGGCTTTATTTTCTTCTGCTCATCTGTCATGCTGGAGGGAACAGCCATGTTTTCTGCTGGTTAGAGCCTATGACAAACCCATTAAGGAATACCCTTTGGTTTTCAAAATTGCTTTCTTCCTATTTTTTCTTTAATTTGAACAGTCAAAATGTTCCTTTATTCTTTATGCCAACTTCTGACATTTTAGTTGTATATTTAGTTCTCTTCCACATCTCTTGAGATCTTTGGTGCTTTTCAGCATCAATAATCTCAGCCCTGTGTTTCCCGTTGGCTGAGTTCAGGTGTAATGCCAAGTGCTGGGTGGTGACTGTGGCATTTTAACTGTAGGTACCACGCGTCCCAGCCAGCAGCTGCTGACCTGTTTACACAGACGCATTTCACAAACCTTTCAGATCCATTTACGGTAGAGAAATGAAAGAGACAATAAACTTGAAATCATTTTCTAAACCGCAGTGGATGTTACATTCATCTCTATAGCAACTACATAAATAGATCTATCCTGGAGATTAATTTGAGGATATTTTTAATGTCTCTTTAAATTCAGGTTTCTGATGGAAACTTGAATTAGCGTACTTCTTCAGCCCTTTATCTTGAAGAATGCTATTGGTTGTTAAATTGAACTGTCTTTTGAATGTGATAACTGAATGCACTGTATGATGTTTTTAATATACATGCTAGAATTGGGAAGATCTGTGTGAGCAGATAACTCCTGCTAGCGCTGATGGTACAGTGATAAAATGTCTGCACATTAGCTGTCTGGAGCATCAGTCAGCCCTTTTGGGGAGCCTGTAGCCGGGAGTGAAGCTGTTCTTCCCACATCCTTTTGCTCAGGAGAGTGAGAAACGAGATTGTGCCTTGCTTTTGGCTGCCTGTCTATGTCCAGATCTGGAGAAGCCAAATTTAACAAAAATTAATCAAGAGTAATTTTTCTGATTTAACTTAATGTGCATCAGCTGGTAGTAAAAGAAGGCATTTGTAGGGATGCAAATGTAGGGCATTTGTCTAAACAAATGGGATTTAAATAAGAGGAAAATATGTATTATATGTGAAGAAAAATCTCAGCATTTCTGTCCAGAGACAGGTCATCAGCAATAGCAGTGAATACTAGTGGTCAAAAAGAGCTGAGCTGCAGAAACTGATGTTTTATCATCTCCTTAAAATATTCTGTTGAGGTCTGTAGTTTATGTGAGGTTTGCCTTTCTTTTTCCTCTTTTATAACAGTAGTTTTGATTGCTGGCTGGGGGAGGGAGAGGAGAAGGGCTGGGGAGAGGTGTGCTTCAACAGGGTTTAGGCTCCAAATGATATTTTCTATGTAATGCTTACAATGTGGGGAAGTACGGAGTTGGAATTCGTATTTTCCAATATTGTGATATGAGGAACAATAATCTCTCTGACAATAGGGGAAGTTTGTAACACAGAATAGCGTTCTGATTTCTGTTAGATTTATACATCAGAACTGTGCTGTGCATGGACCCTTACTGCACGGACTTGAATCACAGCTGATCACAGGTTTCGGTTTTGTTGTTGCACCAGCAGAGTAACGATATACAGCAGGTTTAGGTTTAGCTCAGTATTAAACACGAGAATGCTGAGGAGTTACGTCTGTTAAATCCTACTGCTTGTACACTGAGTTGGTGCCTAGGGCACCTTTATAAACGTGCCTATAAAATATGTTTGATGAAAGAATCCATTTGAAGTCAGAGGATTGGAATGTTGTGGCACAGAAGAATAAAAATAATTCAAACCGGTGACAAAAGTAGCTTTTATGCTTCCGAGACGAACAGGTTTTTCACATGGAGCTGGCCTAGGAGATCAGTATCGCTGGGCTTGCTTTCTTACTGCTTGTTTGCTGACATGCCACTGAAGAACAAGTTCTTTATAATAAGATACGTATTTGAAGGGGTACAAATTTTGATTTCTTAGAATCTGTAAAATGTTATTCAATCATGTTTTTCTATTGTTAAAACTTGTGTAACCTAAGTCATAATTATTGAATTTATAGCACATTAGTAGGTGTAAGATATGAGACTGGGTTTATCAGGCATACAATATGTGTGTGTTTAATGACATCATCTTAAGTACGGGCCTTTCTTTCCCTGGTTATTAAACAGGTTCTTTGAATACTTACTGTGATGCTGTGTTTGCTCAGTAATTTGCATGTTAATGGAAAATATATATATATCTTTTTCTACATAAAATATCAATTATATTTTGTAGTCAACATTTCTTCCACCTTTATTTATTTGTGGTCATGAAATACAATTTGTCAGTCTGTGGTCTATATTTACAAAAGATACTTTACTGAAATTGGACTAAAACAACTTTCCCCATCCTCTTCATTTTATCTGTTGGATTTAAGGTTATCAGTTGGTTTTTTTTTTCCTTCAACAAAAAGAAAGTAGATAGCAGGCTGCCCATCAGGTACAGTTATAAAAGTGTTGGTTTGATTAGTTGTGCTTGCTTTCTCCTTCTACAGAATGAATATTTGAGTCTGTTTAGCAGCAGCATCAACTGCTGATTTTGACCACCACACAAATATACAAAGGATTGATTTTAGTCATTGCCAACCTGATATTGAAATAGTCCTGAGGATTTCTTACATAATACTTTAGGCTCCCTCTAACATCACATTGTAGGTAGCAACTATGCTTCATATTCCTCTTTTACAACAGACCTAGCCATAGTTGGCATGTTTTGAAGAGGTGCAATTCAGACAAAGAAAATTCTGAAAGTCAAAACACCGTTCGTTATTTGGATACAAAACTCTATTCATTATTTGGAAACCTAATAATAATTTCGTTATTATACATGTTGCTGATGCCATTCCAGAAAGTTATGTAAGACTCTGTTTTTCCTTTTTGCTGACAGGTGATAAATCCAATGGGATGGGATGCATTTGGTTTACCAGCAGAAAATGCTGCAGTTGAACATGGGCTTCACCCTGCAAGCTGGACACAAAGGTAGCTTTTCATGAATTTAAGTAATACGATGTTTCCACTGTGAATACCTGTACTGTGACCCCCATAAGCCAACAAAACGAAGCAAAACCAGTGTAGAGGTAGAAGAAGGATGGTACAGAAACAACCAGGTTATTTGCCAATGATTTTATGGAACTGTGCAGATGATTCAGTTTTGAAGAATAAATGTGTCAGGATGGTTTTCAATATTTTAATCTCAATGACTTGTGCAAAGGTAGACTATTGAAAGAGTGGCAGTCCCCAAGCACCCAAATCAGTGAGTAACAAATAAAGCAGAATTTCATTATGGTGAGTTAAATCTTAGTACAGAATACACACATGAAAATTATGAGCTATGTGGTTAGATTTACTAGATGTTTTCGGTACCATGCGAAAGAGGACGAAGATGGCTTTTTCATTTGAGACTGGGTCTTGGAAAGTGATAAACAGCCATTATTGCTGCTGACTTCTGTGAGAAGTTTGGGCTATAGTCTGCAGAATTGGATGTTTTGTTGCCCTAATATTCTTTAAAATGAGCAGAAAGTTATATAAGTTGACATTAATTTCTATAAATGACTCAGAAAGCAGTCTTCCGAAGTGAAGCCTTTGTTGTGCTCTGGATGCAGTAATGTAGCTGTGGTATCTTTTTAGACCGCGATCATTTCCTTCTTTGATAATGCTGTTTCGTTTAAGGTTTTTCTTCATGCTTCTGCTCCCATGCTGAGATACTTGATATTTTTCCGACTAAAATATGATGGCAACTGATTTCACTTAGGGAGAACACATGAGTGCACTACATAGAGTTATGCTCATATTTTAAAATTTCCTTCATCTATGGTTTAGATAAGAACATGTGCGAGAATCAGTTACCTTCAAGACACAAAATCCTGGTTGTTTTCTTTTGAAGGAGTCTGGAAAATCACTGTGCAATGTGTGGTGTACCATCAATTATATTGGAGCGTGATCAATAGATTGTTGGTTTCTGTCTTCCTTCAATAAACCTACTGAAGCTCAGCTGTAAGACAAATCTGCGTACCCATTATATCAGAGTGTCTCGTTTTTTCCTCAGTTACACTGGTGAAACCTTAGGGTGTTACTGCGATCTGTACCTATGACAGCTGAGGCACAGAGAAGCAAAGGTTGTAGCTTTCAGACAAGGCTGACGTTAAGTACTTGTCGACTACAGAAGGGTTAGTGTTTTCCCCTTCTCTCTGCTACGTGGTCCCTCCTCACCTATTACACTAGTTTTTGCACTCGGAGGACATCCTGTTGAATTGTCTCAAAGGAAGATGGTGAGTGTGTAGGGCAGAGGGACCGTGCCATAGTAAAGAACCGCATCAGCTCAGCCTGGCTCGTCTTAGCAGTTTGCCTAGGTCGTAGCAAAAAGCATGTGGCAGGGCACAGCCTGAGCTGATGCTTTTCTGCTACATTCCATGCCGTTCTGTTTTTCTCCTTTCCTGTAAATAGGTGTGTGTTGTTCCATACACTTAGAGCAGTTCAGCTGGCACTTACAAGATAGTTTATACTGGAAGAAAACTTTGCTTTGAAAGTTTCTTTAGTGCTGAAAAGCGTTATTGGCTAGTTTAAAGAGTTAGATAACAATATTATAACAACAAACTGAGAAAAGTTAGAATCAGTCCCAATGATGATGTGCTAATAGCATCCAAACAGGAAAATAGTTTATATACCCAATTTTTTTGATTATGCTAAGGAAGGAAGTTGGTTCATCATATGGGCAGTTTGAATTCTGACCACTGAAATAATTCCTGTCTCCCGTGTTCCCCACTGTCCCTGTCCTGAATCTCATGCCTGCAGCAGGGATGACTGAACTGAACATGGAGCTGCGATGGTGTGATAGCAACCTGATGTGTTTGTCACCCCCGGTACGGAGCCAGCCACCCCTGTTACTTGTTTTGGGAGTCAGCAACCAAATTTCAGAGCATCCTGATTTTCTGAAGAGGTGGTTTGTCATGGACTCCAATTGACTGTTACTTCTTATATCCTCAGAATTAGGAAAAAAAACCCATAAAACAAATGGAAGACAGAGTCACTTACACAAAACACACAAATCTTTGTTAATAAGAGTTGGTATAGTGGCAGAAACTTCGTGAAAATATGCTCAAATTTGAATTTTTTTTTTTTTTGGTACAGTTAATTTTGAGCAGGACTTTAATATAAGCAGTGCTACTGAAAGCATGGTTTCTCCCAGTGGAAGGTGTGAGCCCATAAGAGGATTTCCTGGTATACCTGTGGCAGGAAAGGTACCTTACCGGAAAAGGCATGCCTTTTCTCATGTAATTGGGGCTCTGCAACTCTTAATCCTGAATGCTTGCATTACTCATTCAGCAGTGCGAGTTTGTTCTGGATCAGAATTAAATGCTTGGTTTCATGACTGTCAAATTAGCCACTGTGGGAGGATAGATCATACTTTATCTGACATAACGCATTTTAGTAGAAAGTTAGAAATCCGTAAGGAATTTTAAGCAACTTTATTTGAATGAGTCCACGGGACGTCAGCAGTTAATATTGTGTAATTGTGGGTATTTTGGTAAACTGTACTTAATACATTTTCAAACTAAAGCTTCACTGTATATTCTGATGCATCTTATTTTACATTTTTAATATAACCCATCTGGGGCAAAGTCTAGCCCTACAGTTTCACAGTTGACCTAAGTATGTCCTACTGAATCGTGAGGATTTCAGAGAGCCCTTTGGCTCAACTGCAGTGAAGATAATTAAAAATAAGGTGAAGTGATGCTTCAGGAACGTTTCCCTTAACCTGCAGTGCCATATTTGCTTTTTAGTTATGCTCAAATCAAGAGAAGAAAAATTGTTGTTGGAAATTGAACTAGAATACACTAGGGACTTTTAAAGTTATTCTTTAAATTGTGTATGCTTGTCAGTTCCTTGAGTTTGACTTATAGTGAGATAATAATCTTTATCTAGTGCTTCTGATTACTCAGAAATTTATTAGCACCTGATTTTAAATATGACCACATGATAGAAATACTTCAAGTTAATAATTAAATTTTTTAAAAAATTTTATTTTGCAGTAATATTCAACACATGAAGGAACAGTTTGATGCACTAGGTCTATCTTTTACATGGGACAGGGTAAGATTTTCTTTTTTAAGGGATGCTGCTTTATTTTATTGTATGATGGAACATTGAAGAAAATGGAATTTCACCATTTTATTTATGACAATATAGAAGGCTTTGAAAGTGACCAGTTTAAGTTGTTAAACTGTAAAATGAAGCTTCTCTCAAGCTTTTATCAGTTTTCTCTCACTTTTGACATGCTGATATAGTCTGATAACTCCAGGTTTAGGAGAATCTTTCTTTCCTTTGAAGTGTTTTCAGTTTTGCATTTGGATTTTTCTCTGCTTTTTCAGCTCTTTCAAAGTAGTATTTTTCTGTGTTAGAAGTTATGCAGTAGTCTAAACAGATATTTATGAAACAGCATGCCTTTGTGTTAAGGTATGTGTGTTTAGAAGAGTGCTTTTTTCAATGTGTATGTTTTTATGATATAATCAAAGGTTTGAAGCTCCTAACTTGAAATGGTGGTTTGGTTATGTTGTTCTAAATTTGAAGTATGAGCCTGCATTTTCATAGCTGTTCATACCATGACTGTTTTGGAAAAGAGAAATTTTATTTACTTAAAACACTAGTGCTTGAGAATCAGGTGTTCACCTTAGAAACCTCACCAAACACGGTCAGACATAGGCTAATGTCATTTTCAAGATAAAAAAGAAATTAATTTTTGAAACAATTGTAAAGTTATTGCATTTACCAGTGAATGAACATCAGTCACTACCTTTATATTCTCAGCAATCACTGTTGCTTATCACCTTCATAGGAGTCTGAATAGAGTGATGAAGATGCTAATCTTGGATTTTTATAGCAGTATTGTAGATCTGAAAAGGAAAAGGTTTAGTTTTCTGGCAATCTGAGACCTGCCATCTGTTTTCTTTGATCTTGAAGGTGAAGTTGTTTATTTGTATGTCTTACATCTAAACCATCATATTTTGTCATGTCGTATAGGTGGCAAGATTTTTCAATATAAGCCTTTTCAGTAAGATTTTAGTTTTCTTGCTAGCCAAAACGTTGCTCTGAAAAGGTGTGCTGTGGAAGGTTCAGTAATTCTTGACAATTATTTTCTTATATTTAAAACTTGCGGTATCTCAGATTTTCTGTGTGTGTATACAGCAGTACTTCAAAACAGTCAAATTGCGAGGGCTCTATTATGGAACACACACGAGTTGAATGTTGCAGATTGCCATTCAGGAAAATTGAGAAAATTCACCTCTGTATATGGACTTTGTTTAACCCTTCTGTTCTGAAGAAGAGATGGAGAACTGGCAGTACTGAAAACCACGTCAGGAAAACCATACACGGGGAGAAGTCATCTGTCATCTCGGTGCCTGTTCTTAGAGGCTTACCTTCACTTTTCTAGTAAACCACGTGTTGGTTACTGGGTTTTCAGAAGTCTGAATACTTGCCGAAAGGGCTTTGATACGCTACAGCTAAGTCCATTTGAACAGCTGTCTAATTAGTAAGTACTTGAGAATGTGCTAGGGGCACAGAGGTTGTGTTTTGGAAACGTTAAGATTTGGCATTTCACTCCTTAGCTTATGAGTTAAGTTTTATTCTACCTAGAAAGCCTGCCTTATTAACTGGAATAAGAGTGACCTGAGTGGTAGCCATTAGAAATAGATGTGTTTATTCATTGCAAAAAATGTGGGATGATGCCTGAAATATATCCTTATTGCATGATCTCCAAATACACAGATATTGGAACTAGTCATGAAAGAACAACCTTTGCAAGCAAACAGCTAAGCTGTAGCAGAGCGTGTTTTCCAGGCTTATTAAAGCCTGCTTCTCTGCAAGGCTAATTAGGCTGGGCAGAGCCTCTTACTGTCTCTGCTGTACGGCTTCTGGGCTAACTGAAGCATCTTTGCCCAGCAATGCACTCTGCACGTGCTTCTCTTAAAAGTGAGCTCTTTGAGGTAAGGAGTATTTTTTAAATATTATTCTGGGTTTGTATATCAATAAATCAACAGCTTACAAAATACTGTGACAGTGCAAACAAACCCACTGGCGCTAGTGACTCCTGTGAAAAATGCAAGAAAACCACTTTTTATGTTAGTCTAATTAACCACGGCTATTGTACAACACAGGAGTTTCTTTTTCATTTACTTTCATTGGTGTTGCTTAAGTGTGCTCCTTCTTTGTGCTGACTGCTTTTAAAGTCGTGTCTGGTGTTCAAGAAAGTCTTGTCCAGGCATAGGAAGACTAGTTGTAGTTCTATCTCTTGGTAAAATTATTATGAACAAACCCTGGTGCACCAGGGAAACTAGAAATTTCCTTTTACTTGTCTGGGATTTTTTCATTGTTCTCTGTGTCTCACAAATCAGAACACAAAAGTATTTTTATGCTATAGCAGTCAGTGAAATTACTTCACCAGTAAGGCACCACAAATAAGGCATTATTAAAAGCTAATTAGATTATTTCAGAAAGCCGGGTTACAAAAGACACTTGAAAATTATCCTCCTGGACTGAAAATGTAAGCAAACTAAATGCGTAAAATCGCTTTGTACGTACTTCGCTTTGGCGTAGTTTTGAATACAACAGTGACCTGATATTATTCCCTGAAATGTGTAGGTATTTTAAGTGCCTCAAGTATAAATATTATCTTATAAATCCACTTTGAAAATGGTGTGATTTTGAGGAGAGATTTAAGAAAAAAGAATAAATAAGAGAATATTTCTATTCTGAATATTTATGTTTGTCAGATCCAGGGTTAAAAAGCTGCAGTTTGAGGATGGAAGAATTGTCTCTGAGAGACATGAAAAACACCTGGACAATCACAAAACCTTTGTGGTTGTGTTTTGTTTATGACATAATAGCTTGGGCATCCCTGGTGATGAGATTTCTCCAAAATACCATCCCAGACCACATAGCAAACTGCCTGCCACCTTTTTAAACATGATTTCAGGGGAATTGGGCAATATCGTTTTCCAAGATGAGTATCATCAGCATCGAGGGATGGAGAGCATGTAACATTTTTCCTTTCTTTGCACAGGAGTGCCGTCAGACTGAATGTTGTTCCCAGTAACCCATCAGCTCACCACTGTATTATCAACCTATAACTCTCTTCTAGAAGGTAGCTTGTTCTGCCAACATTTTTTACTCTTTTCAATTCATGCATTCCAGCTGACAGAGTTTTTTTTTTGCATGAGAAAAACGTTCCCCTTCTGCTCTGTACATTAAAAAAGATGAAGTCTTTGGTAGATTTTCTTTGTGCAGATATTTTTTTTGTTTAGTTTTGAAGTTGTCATTTTTGCGTACTGCCTGAGCATGCATAAAACTCTCACGGTAGAGCATTACATATTAGATTTTCTTTTTATCCACATATCACTGATAATCAGTCACCCTACTTACAATTAAATAGAAAAGGAAGCCGTTGATACAAGGCTACTTTTTTGCAGGAAAGATGTTCATGCTCTAAAGTGTAGGCAATGCATGATGTTTGTATTTGTCATACATGAAATTAAGGGCCTTTGAAATACAAATATTCAAATTAATTTAGAAATGTAGCTTGGTCTAGCCCTAAACTTCTGAGAATCAATAATTACACTTCCAGATGAGGTGGTGCATGCCCTTTAATAGCAAAATGGGCAAATAATAGATTAAATACTGTTTAATTGTCCCAAATAGATTTTGAAAAAATCCGTTCAGACTTTTTCTCCTTATCATCTTTTTAATAAGTATCGAGCACAACATCTGTGTCTTCAGGATATATTAAGACTGTTCTAAAAATAAAATTATTAGTAATAAACTCAGAAATTACTTCTTTCTAGTCTAGTTATATTTTATTCACAAAGCCTGGTGGATCTTAAACAAGCACTTTTATGCAGCCTGTAAATATTACTTTTATGTAAAAAGAAAAAAGCTGTGAGAGTAGCTTTGAGATGTGACCACCTTCTTAAAAAGTAAAAAACAAAACCAAGTTTTAAGGTCAGGGCTGCATCACAGAAAGTTGTAAGAATGGAGCAGATTTAGAACAAATAATGAATTATAAAACAAGACATTTCAAAATTAGTTTTTCTTTTATTAATGACCAAAATCTTCTATCCAGTTTGCGGGGTTTTTTTGGTTTATCCAGGATTCTTTTCTGTTGGTTTTCCCATGTTTTTGGTAGCTGGAGGGGTTTTTATCAGATCTTTTAATAATGAACAGTCCTTTAACCTTAACATGAACCAGTTGCTTCCCAAGCTGCAATGCTGGCCAATCTACTTTGTAATACAACTTTTTAGTCTGTAACTGAGAATTTATTTGCAAAAATAAGTGAGATACTAACCCCTCCATCATGCTATTTGTTAGGAACAGATTGCTGTGCTGCGATAAAGGGATTAAGCAAGGTAGTTTTTGTTAAGGGTGGGGTCTTTCTCTTCTATACCTTGGCAATATCTGCTACTTTTAAAAGCAGACCACTTTAAAAGGTGGTTTGTTTTAATTGTTTGATGAGTGAGTGTCACTGCTGTGGGAATAAGGAGTATTAAGAGTAACTAATGATAAAGGTGCATTTTGGTGACAGTATATCTGATACTGTTTTTAAGTAGCAACTTGACAAAAGGAAAAGGGAAAATGAGTGGGGGAAAGAGGGAGATGCTCTTCCTCACATTTCATATTATCTTCTAAAGTGATGGATTATCACAACATCTGTCACAGAGCACTGAAGAAAGAGCACATGCAGTGGACAGCTGAGCAGCGTATTTTGTATTTGTGAAAGGGTTCTGATTTTTAGTGGGTATTTTATCTCTGAGAAAATACGGTACTATCTCGTTTATATATAGTTGCTGAACTGCTTTATGATACGGGGTGCTATACGTGTGCTGTTGTGCTAGTGCTCAGCTCACGGATGAGAAGCAGAAAGTTACTTTTTTTTTTTCCCCAGGATGGAAGGGCTCCGTCGTGCTATTTTGCAAACCCTTTTATAAAAAGACCATTTTCTGTACTTCTGAGTTAAGTTAGTTCTGTCAACGCGCTGCTTATCTTTTGTCATGCTCATGAAGTATAAATAGGAACATAACAATCACCTCAATTTAAGCATGATAGCAGCCTAATGGAAGCTTTTTACCAGATGTTAATTATTTAATCAAGATCAGTAACTGGGATACATGGAAAGCTATTTTTCACTGTAAGTCTGGATATGCTAAACGGTAGGAAAAAAAAGCCAAAGCACATCTTGAGATTGCCAGGAGGTTGCTGGCTTGTCGTCAGCAGCTCATTTTACGTGGTAGTGATGTCATTTTCTTTCTTCGTTAGCTTCAGATGTGACTTCAAGCCGTCATGGTTACAAAATGAAGTGATGAGCTTGAGGGGTCTTTTTATGGTTCTGCTCGAGTTGCATAGCTGACAGCTCCACGTAAACATGCCTGTTCAGGCTGAGGAATGCAATTTCTTTTTGTTTCAATTAACAGGTATCTGCTGTTCAGGACCAACAGGGCAAATCACAGCCCATTTTACTGTTCTTATTTGACAGCTCACGTCTGTTATCTGGCCTGTTTGTCTGTTGCTCACGTAATCTTAATGCGTACCAAAAGGGATTGTCTCGCTTCTTTTGTGCGTCTGATACTCCCGTGATGAAACTCCCTTGCCTGTAGTGGCATCACACCGGCAGAACTGATGTCACTTTTGGAGAAGCGGGGAGGGGAAAAACCGAATTATTAAATGGATAGTGTTTAGCTGGAGAGATGGAAATCAGACTTTCTATCAAGTGGGTTTTTTTCAGTGCAGTGCATGGGGATTTAATCAAGGAACTGTTTTTCATTACTAAGTCTTCACATGCTGAGCTGAAAACTTGCCATTAAATGTCTCTCTCTGATCTTGAAAGCCTCTTATGCGCCCTTCGGAGGCACATCTATTCAAAGGTCATGTTAATTGTTCAAAACAACGCTTCAGCACTGGAATATAAAGTTCAGAGCAATGTTTCAGCACTGGAATGTAAAGCTGTAGAAAAAGGATAAAATTTTTATGCTAGAGTGTGTTTCAGATGTCATTGGAGTAGCAGGTGATACTGCTGAAGTCGTGTAGTGGGAAGCTTAGATGGTAGGAAGGCCTGGGTGAAGGACATTTCACATTTGGAGCTGTTTCAGGTAGTCAGTAACTGTTTGCAGATGGAATAAATTTTATCCGTGGCTTACTGTCAGCCCTGTAACTCTGAAACCAAGAGATGTTCTTGTTGATTGGAAGCTGAGCGTGGGAGTCATCTTCCACTTCAGTAAGTACAAACTTCTACAAACAGGAAGTTTGTAGAAATGGTTCTTCTTTAAACAAGTGCACGGTTGAGGAGGGAAATGTGATCCGTTTATTGATACACATTTGTGATGTAAGAAGAGCTTAAATACTGAGTTACACAGTTGCTTTCACTTTGGCCAAACTTTAAAATATGTGGGTGCAGGTGTATGTGTTTCCATTGTGAAACCACTGTGTTTGTGTATAGAAGGTGGGGAGGCTATAACCATGTAATCCGTTAGTCATCTTTACATATTAAGATGTTTATTCAAAATCCAGTTTGTTTTTCTAAGAACAAACATTTAAAATACGGAACTTTGTAAGCAGTTGGTAGGTTAGTTGTTTTTTAATTATTAGAGTTCACTAAAAACTTAGAAAATGTAAGTTTTAAAAAAGCTATCCATTGTGTTGTTCCTTGCTGTTCTCTTAAGTCTCATTCCTCCTTCTTATGTTGTCTTTTATTTTTATCTGCCTTTATTTACCTCTTAACAGTCCCCCTCATTTATGGCTTCTTTCATGGCACTCATACTTCCACCTACAGCATTCTCCTGACCTGAGCTGGCTTGCCTTTGAAAATGGGTCGCTTATTTGATCTTCAACTGGGAGATATCCTTCAAAAGTCTTTCATCTTGAAGTTTAGAGTCTAAGCCATACTCCATCCTGCCTGCCCCACACACTGTCAACAGCCTCGGTTCCTTAGCGCTCTTCTGGGGTCTTCCTCTACCTGCTTCTTCAGCTGTAGGCACCTCCAGTGTGCTGGCTTCTCTGCAGCCAGCTCCCCGCTACCTGTGGGCAGTCGACAGGCTCTGGTCCTGCTTTTCACTGCTGAGCAAGAGGGGAAAAGGCAACCTGGCTAAGATGACCTCTTTGATAGAGACTTCTAATTTTTCCTAGGTTTGCAGTTTCCTTGGTCAGGCAGCTGTGGTCATTTCCATTTGTCTTCTTATATCTATCAGCATTGATCTGACAGGGTTCTTGTATTCCATGTTGACAGGAAAACCTCCCTTTGCACGTCAAACCCACTCAAAGCCCGAGTTCTCTGGTTTTGAGTACAGGTAAATATCACTCACTGTAAACATTACACAAAAAGGTTTTGTACGTAAATAAACATTTTTTGTTTTCTCTGTGGCATATATTATACACTCCTGAGTTAATTGTTTTAAGTTAAATGCTGTAAGAAAATACTAAGAATAGTTTCAGGACTTTTTATTCTGTTTCATTTCTACAGGAAATAACCACCTGCTTACCAGAGTACTACAAATGGACACAATATCTCTTTCTTAAGCTTTTTGAAGCTGGGATAGTGTATCAAAAAGAGGTAGGTGCAAACTCTGACCTTTAATACTTGGCAGGTGCACTAATTCAAGGCACTCATGTCAGTGGCATATTTCTGGATTGTCCATTTCACATTCATTAAGTGGATTGTGTTCTGTTGGTTTTAGATCACTGCAAAATAGAATGAATTTTATATACAACTGAATTTTATATGTAGCTAGATTTTATATGTAAGTAACATGAATGGATATTGTAGCAAGTCAAATCAGAAATGATTATTGCTAGTGATTTTCACTGAAATGCAGGATCAGAATATCGCTGCTGTTAATAAATTTCTCGTCTGTAATATGGAATTTTCTAGGCCTTAACTTGCCTCTCTTGGAAACATAGAAGGTAATGTGATCATTAGGAGTCCCTTCAGCAGTGAGATCTTTTAACCGTGTAAGTGTGACGCTGTCTCAGAACTGATCGGATTGGGTAGGATAATCGGAGATTATTTGCCTAACCGTCCGAATCCTGGACCCTATTTGTGATCCCTAAAATACTACAGAAATATTAGATGCTATAAGACTATCACAGCTCTTTGTGTTAGCAGTACATTAAGAAATTATTGACTTCATAGTGTTTTGTAAATAACATATAGCAGGTGATCTGCAAAGGGAATCAGCAGGAGGTGAAACAAAGATGTTAAATGAGCATTCCAAAGAACCCTCTGTATAGCCAAGGCAACACCGTTCCAAAATACCTGAACAGCTGCAGCTAAACAAAGCTGCAATTTAGTGAATGTTTCTAACTTAAAATGGAAGCTAAGATTTCTTAAATATGCTTTGACATTTCATTTGTATTCTGTAGAAGCCAGGAAACCCCATAGGATTTAGTTAGGGATGTAATCTAATTATTCTCTGAACCCGGAGAAAGAGCTTGGGCGAAAGGTGGCATTTGGAACGGCAGGGTCTTACTGAGCTACTTCTCCTAGTCTCACAGGAAAAATGTATTCAGAGATCTTAAATGACAGCTAACAAAAAGAGAGAATGTTGATATTCCTAACATGCTGGATTTAGGTTTTTTTACATTTTTTCCTGTAATTATTTTGTTTATAATAAAAAAATGAAACCCCTAGCTTTGCCATAGCAAACTTAGTTTTCTCTGTAAATTTGTTTGCTTTGCAAGTTATCCCAGGTGAATCTGAAAAGCACAAGGCTTGCTGCAGCGCTGATACGCTAAACAAATTTTGCATACAGGCTCCAAGTACTGTGGGATGCTGGAGGTGTTTGGGTACTAGTGATTGGACCTACTTTCCTCTCAAGGATCAGTTGGAGGACTTAAATCAGCATCTGCCAACCTGAAGGGGATGTAATCTCTGGTGGATAGAAACCAGTTGTTTTTTGGCAGGAAACAGATGGCAGAGATAACCCTGGGTCTCCTCAGAGTCATATATACTTAAAGCATATATTTATCCCATGTTGTCAGTGTAGCTGCAGTGTATGTTAGGCAGTACTTTTGCACAGCTCAAAGTCTTCCATATTACAATTTAATTTTGGGTACATGGAGATAATTCATAGCCTTACTGTGGCAATGAAAATAATACTTGTAGAGCATTAGCCTAGTTAACGCTCTGTTCCAGAAGTATGTGTGTCTGGCCAGAAATTACGCTGGCAGTGAGACACAGACTCAGTATGTCCTGGAGCTGCAATTACTGAGAATTAACCGTATGTCTGTCTGGGTGCTGCAGCATCCATAGAGGGCATCTTTGTTCACTGTGGCAAAATCCTCTCTCGTCTTCCTGCAATGCTGGTCTAGTTGGTATACTGCAGAGGTTGTTGACCTGGCCAGATGTGGGTGTCTCGCTGAGGTTGAGATTAATACCTGTCTGGGCTCTGTAATTTTGATTAGAGATCTGTGGACTGTAGTGAGACCGTAGACGCCAAACCTGGAGATAGATACATATGCTATAGATACCTGAAAATAGCTGCGATGAATCCTGTCTTAAAAGCATATGGTCCACATTGGTGTAGCGAGATCTCAATAATTGGTGTGCTCGATGCACTTTTGCACTGTGCTCTCCGTGTAGATGACATTTAGTGGCTTCCTGGGGCCATAGTTTCACAGGTGGTCATTGTCAAGAAGTTGTCTGTGTGAGGTACAGGTAGGAACTAAGGATTTCATTTAATATCCACGTTCTGGATACTAGTCAAAAGGCTGTAAGAGATGGAAGGAACAAAATCCAACTTTAAGAAGTCACAGACCAAAACTTTCAGCTACGGATTTCTTAGATGTGTATTTTGCTTTATGTTTTGCATTATTTATTTAGATAAATCTTCCTGTTACGAATCATGAGAATGTGTTATGCTAAATAATTATATAAATAATTTCAGTTGCCTTCTAAAATTTTCATCATATATTTGGTCCAATATCATCAAAATAGAAACAGTATTTTTTCCTCAACTTTGAGTCATAGCCAGTTTAATACAAGCATATGCTAATACTGCTTTATGCAACTGGTATTTTGTTACTTCTTAATATTATCAGATTTATCTCTCTTTAGGTGTTATTTTAACTTTGTAGCGGTGTGGGTTTTTTTTTTTTTTTCAGACCTTGATAAATTAAAAGATGATTACTTCACAGGCAACTTCCTAATTTGTTGTATCATTACTGAAGAAGTTGTGTGTTCTGCAAGTCTAGAAGACAGATCTGTAATAGTGGAATACATTGATTGCTTTTAGTTTCCCAATGAATTTTCAGAAGGCTTTTATGAAAGAGTTATTGGTAGGTAACAGATAAAAGATAAGCAAAGAGTAAAAGGTTTAAGTTCCAGTGACATGCTGAATTCACGCAAGCTTAATTTGAAAGTGCGCTTGTTTATCAAAGAAAGACTTTTATTAATTTCATTATAATACATTTTTTATAAATCGTATAGGTACCCAGACTTCATGCGCACCACACGCATATATATACCACGCACTGGTAAAAAACCAGCAATGCTATTCCTAAGAGGAATACTTGAAACTTTCTTTAATGTGTTTGTATTTTTAAGGAAAGATAATTCCAAAAGTAATCCACACAGTTGACAGACACTATGTGCAGAAAATATAAACCTTTCCACATGAAATACAGTTGACCACTATAGTGCTTCCTTGTGATTCTGCCCTCTCAATTTGGAGATCCCCAGTTCTTCATCCCCCTCAGTCTTACTCAATGCTTTGGGATTAGTGGTGGACAGCTTTTAAGCATCAGACTATGCAGTTTAGGGTGTAGTCAACTGGAGTGCTTACCTATTTAATATTCAAGTGTCAGCCTATCCCGCTAGAATGATCAATCAAGGTAGATGCTGCCAACTGCATTCTTGGTTTTTCTGAGTTCTGAGAAGATGAATATTCAAAACATCCTCAGATGAGTCCATGTTGCTGATTCAGATGGATGCTATAAAAATGTAGAAAACCCAGGGGCCCAAGGAATGTTTCTGGATTATGCTTTTTGTATCTGAAAAATAAGATTCTGGTTTTGAAATAACTGCTAAAAACATTTTTTCTTCCTGCAACTTTTTTTTAGGCCTTGGTTAACTGGGATCCAGTGGACCAGACTGTTCTAGCTAATGAACAGGTGGATGACAATGGTTGCTCATGGCGTTCAGGAGCAAAAGTGGAACAGAAATACCTCAAACAGTGGTTTATCAAAACGACTGCTTACGCAAAGGTATGAGAATACAGGTTTTGGAAATTGTGGTAGCACTTAGAAGAGGTGACTTTTCATCCAGAAATATTCATCAGGCTGAATGGTGTCTTTTAAATATGCATGTTTATGTAATTATGTAATTACATAATAATATATGTGATCTATCCCTGTGTATGCGTGTATATAAAAATTATTATGTCTGAAGTCTTTCTGTTCATATCTTTAAGAATTCTAAATAATTGGTGTGGGATTAAGTTTTGAAGAAATCAAAAAGCATAAATTAGAGGTGAATGAATAAGTTCTGCATTCACACGTCATCCCATATTTACCATCAAGTGCTTTTCTGCGTATTTTGAATGTACAGATGTGCAATCTTTTGAAGTAGAAACTTGTTCGCTTCTTCTAAAAAAAATTCTATTTTCCTTTAGTTCTTATTCTATTTGATTATCCATAATTTAAAAAATAACTTCAAGTTATTTGAACATCCTTTTTGTTATGAGCTCAAATTTTGATTGTGATGGGACAGCATAGGAATTCTTCAACAGGATTTTTGTCTTCATGCAGTCTGAGCTGAAAGTATTGACCTCCTGTTTTGTTCAGGTGAAGTTTTTCTTCCATCCAAATGTTCTGTGTGTTGAGACTTCATGTTCAAATTGTGAAAGTTATTCTCAAGAAAATATTAAAAGTTCCTGAGCCTCAGATTCAAGAGACCAGATTTCCACTATCCTCCAGGGAGAAGAAATCCAGGTCTCATTCCATGTTCATTCATAATAAAGATAAAAACTTCAGATATCCTGCCTGATGCTTTGATTCCTCATGCACAGAGGGGGTGCTTGAGATGCATCTTTCCTGACTGTGCTGCCTGTTCTGGCAGTAAGGAGGGAACATTTGCTATAGCTGAAGGAAAAACGAAGCATGTCTGCGCAGTTACAAAATTATCACAATGTTCTGAGCTTCTTCTCAGTACCCTTGTCACCAGATTTTGTGATCAGCTTTGTGGTATTTCAGGGTCTGCCCCAACTCACTATTTATGAGGCCAGAGCTTCACTAAAGTTGCTGCCTTTACTGATACACTTTTTGTCTGTTGTCCTTATGAAGGCTGTAGGAAATAATGACTGGTGTTTCTGGGTTGTATCCATATTTGCACCAGATCACTGTTTGCTTATCTCCCCCTAAGGGGGGTGAATTAGCCTTAAATATTTACACATAAAAAACAAAAGACAAGACTGAGGAGCTTTTCTGTAACCTTGTAAACACCCTTGGCTTACAGGATTATTACCTTTTGCTCAATATCCACCCTGGTCTAGGGGGAGAATGGATCTTTTGTCTTTAGTCTCTGCCCAAAGAAATGTCGTTACAGGAAAGGCATCAGCTCTTGGGATCATCACGTCTCCCATGTGTCATTCTCCAGTAAGTAGCCTCAGCTGATGACAAGAAGGAACTTGTGCCTCTACAACACCCCCTCATCTTCCCCCCCGCTGCCAAGATGTCACCTCAGGAGACTACCATATCCCCTCCCTCCAGGAAGGGCAAAATTGCAAACAGCCACATGTTCTTGAACATCAGTGGCATCGTGAATGAGAGCTGCTTCTACTACTGATTTGGGGATGAACATTTATATCAGCCTCTGCAAAACCTTTAAGCATTACTACATAAGAGAGTTGAGTACTCTACGGATCTCTCTAAAGGTTTCCTAAAATTTTGTCCTGTGTATGACTGATATTCTGTAGGGTCTGTGCTAGCTAATACAACCAGGTCGATGAATGATGCCGTACTGCTCCCAGCTCAAGTGCTTTGGCAAGTGTTGCCTTCATGTGCTTCCACTTCTTGTACAGTGACAGATGCTACCAAGTATCAGCAGGTGGTTTGGATCTTCCTTTTTACTCACACTCCTCTGATTCCCGTTTCTGTTGCTGTGGTTCTGGCACATTTTAAACAGTCTCACTCTGCTGCTTTTGGCAAGGGCTTTAAACATTTGGTTGTAGATGGGGGAAAAAAATTACTTTCCCCTCCCCCACCCCCCAACCCTTCAGATAAGAATAGCAGATTACCAGGCTCTGCTATTTTAAGTTCAATATCTGATTCTAGGTGGATTTCATGCTTTGGAAGATTTAAGATAGATAAATTCGCCTTTTGGTATTTACTTAGTTCTTTCAAGTTGCAAAGGCTAGGTAACACAGCATGCTGTGTCTTGCTTTCTGAAGACGACTGTTTTGGCCATACAGCGATGAATGGCCCGTGAACTGCAATCCGCAGTTGAAGACTGTCCATCAGAGGGAGATTGTCTCTGTACTAACACGGGCACAGTGCTTAGAGACTGTGCCCACGCTCACATAACCATGAAGCTTCACAATAGCATTTTGACAGAAACCAAAATACAGATCTTAAAATGCTACAACTTTGGCTCTTCTTTTCTGGAATATCTTGACTAATTATACCCAAAACACAACTTTGAATGCATTTCTTCATTCCTTACAGTAGTCATCCCAGTACTTTTCAAGGAGTATGAGAGACATAGAATCATAGAATCATAGAATGGTTTGGGTTGGAAGGGACCTTAAAGACCATCTAGTTCCAACCCCCTGCCATGGGCAGGGACACCTTCCACTAGACCAGGTTGCTCAAAGCCTCATCCAGCCTGGCCTTGAAGACATCCAGGGATGGGGCATCCACAACATCTCTGGGCAACCTGTTCCAGTGCCTCACCACCCTATCTGTGAAGAATTTCTTCCTGATATCTAATCTAAACCTCCCTGTTGTCAATTTATACCCGTTACCCCTTGGCCTGTCACTACAGGCTCTTGTAAAAAGTCCTCTCCCAGCACCCTTGTAGCCCCTTCAGGTACTGGAAAGCTGCAATGAGGTCTCCTCGGAGCCTTCTCTTCTCCAGGCTGAACAAGCCAAATTCTTGCAGCCTTTCATCATAGGAGAGGTGCTCCAGCCCTCTGAGCACCTTTGTGGCCTCCTCTGGACTTGCTCCCACCGGTCTATATCCTTCTGATGCTGGGGGCTCCACAGCTGGGCGCAGCACTCCAGGTGGGGTCTCAGGAGAGCAGAGCAGAGGGGGAGAATCCCCTCCCCCGACCTGCTGGCCACACTTCTCCTGATACAGCCCCGGATACGGTTGGCTTTCTGGGCTGCCAGCGCACACTGCCCGCTCATGTTCAGTTTTTCATCCACCACTACCCCCAAGGACATGAGTCCTTCCTTCTGAATCTCTTTCTTTTGTATACATTTTTTTTGGATTCAGGCTGTTGACAGATGATCTGAATCCATACCATCCAAAATAGCGTTGAACATCATGGTTACAGCAATCACTGTTCCTAGCCTGTTCCTCAAACCTTCTTCCCCACCTCTTTTCAAAAGCCCTTGCCAGGAGACTGGGCTTCATTGAGAGGGAGGTGTCAATTTACCTTTATTCTTTACAGAGCCTTTCATCTTGGAGCAGAGATTAAGATTTTACAGAGCCAGTCCTAATAGATGTGGAGGATAGAGTCATCTCTAACTTTAAGAAGCTAAAGATCTCTAATGATTTCAGATTATTAAATTAGTGGTGATGGTAACTTCAACATGGGGGATTATTTCATGTTTCCTGACCTTGAACACACTCATTTCCATAACAAGATTTTCCTGGGTTGCATCATGGACCAGAACCAGTGCCAGTACAACTTCCTTTACTTTGCTGTTCAGAGACTTCAGATAATTGTGCTTCTAATGATAAATGAGTACAGCAATTAGGTTCTCTATGGCTCTTATTTCACTTTTTCTTCAGTTGTTTGAGGCTCATCGTGAATATGTGTATGATACCTTCTCTGCAGTTATTTTCAGGCACCCAAAGGCTCTGGATACTACAGTAGTAGAGAGCATTTTTATCCAAACTGGGCTTACGGTGAAGGTTACTTATGGTACTCCATATGCCTGCCTCCTGTAAATGGGAAACCTGACAGGACGTTATAAAGATTATCTTTAATGGGACTGGGCATTTCAAATCCACGGTCAGCTTTTTTTTGCATTAAACCCAATATAAATAGAAGGTTGCCCTTCCAGGACTTGTCTGGCCCTGCGGTCTTTATTCCCCATTTCTGTGTCAATTGCCTGTTGGAACATCTTTTGTCCAGTTCTGCTTCTTTTGAAGGTGTCCAGGAAGTTAAGGCAAGATGGTACCAGATCAGTCATTCTGATCTAAAGAGCTATGTTTTTTGTCAGTGTAGAGTAGCTTATGGGTCTTTGAGCCATACTACCAGAACTCGTATCAGAACACACCTGGCCCTCCATTTCTGGTCTCTCACAGCTGGGACAAGTTCATGGCAACAGAGCAAATTTATTCCTTCCTTGTGCAAGATGTTCTTACTAGGTCTGGGAAAAGATAGTGAGCTAAGCGGATCAGGCTTTCATTGAGTTGTATGGCCAGAAGTCTGTTATCCACTGAAGTTTCCCCGCTTCTCATTTTGAAATTAAAAAAATGGGAGGCACTAAGATTGTCTGATGGTAATTTCATCCTTGCATCTTTTGGGGAAGTTTTGGGTTTTTTCCCGCTTTGGCTACTTTTAAACTTAGAGGGTTAATCTTTAAGTGTGTTCTAGTTCTCCCACTCATCTTTATCCAGTGAGGCATTAATCTGGTTTTGGTATCTCATGCGGAAAGCCATTTGATTCTGGTCACTTCGTGCTTGCACCTTCAGTGATGACTGCTATTTCTTCTGAACGGGTTACAGAAATTCAAGACCAGATGTCAGAAAGCTCCGCCTTCCCTGTCCTTTTTCTGCAACAAGACTGTCTGCAAATCTGTTCCCTGTTCCTTCCACAAGTTATCCATGACTTTTCTTTAAGCTGACATAGTGGGAAAGCATGTTGAAAAAGATTTTTATTTCTGGTGACTCTTTTCCTGTGTGGCTTAGAGGAAAATAGAAGTATTTTGTAACCAAGTTTCATAGACAAGGTTCCATTTGAAATACATTTAATGAATCTGCTATCCCTCAATTCTTCATGCAAATTACCAGTTAGCAATAATGGCTGAGTATG